TTAATTAAGGCCCCACTCATTTTTCATTGTGGTTCAGGGTGGGACTGCAGCTTCATGCCAAATCAGTTTGTGTTGTGCATCCTCCCTCTCATGCTTCGGTGTCTGTAGACATGGTTGCAATAGGTTTTGATAGGGTGGCAAGGGAACCAGGAACCACACTGGTCAATATATGCTCAGGCTGAGACTGAACCATTCAAAAGATGAGGATACTCACAGCTATAAAGGTTCAGAGCTTGCTTGAGGACAGGCAGACATTGCCCCTACAGTCAATCCTGGAGCAATATCTGGCCATCTATGACTACTTTAGGCAGAAAACAGTCAGCAAAGCTATTCAAGTTCTTTAGCATCCAAGAAAGTCTTCCACTTTTGCCATTGGCTAAAAAGAAATATAAATTTATGTTGCAGATTCATAGATTCTAAATTGCTTTCTGATCGTCATAAAGGAGGGTTGTCATATATATTAAATTATCTGTGACTTTTTAGGGCTAAAGGTCATATGGGAATTTTTAATAGCTCGGAAACAGTGCCTCCTTTTGTACCGATAGTCTGCTCCCCTCCCAGTGTTACAGCTAAATGCCTGCATATCCTTTCTTGTTATTAATCACGAGTCCCGAGATGTAGCCTGACTACCGCTAACTGCCCCACAGCACCTTAATGGCCATAAAGAGTTTTTATGATCCAGTCGCTATCTTTTCTCTCTGACGCACATTCAATCACAATGAATCCTTTGCCGTGTCCTCTTGGAGTAGACGTGTTGTTGTGTTTTTTTTCTCTTCCTGTGTCTAGCGAGCCGAACCTCGTCATTATTTTCTGGCTATGTTTAGTTTATAGATTGCCAACTTGCATTACTTGGTGAAGACGGGTGGGTGTGAAAAGATATCTATGGCTCTAGCTAGTGCTATCACACATTGATACAATATGTAGAAATTTTTCTTTTTCACAAAATGCCGAAACTGTCTGACCTCTTATCAAAACGTTTCCAGTTTTATGCCCGGCTCTGTTATCAGCTGGGTTATGACAAAGGTGGGAAATTTGTCATTGTGCAAGTCTTTTGCATGTCTACCCCAATGGGCATCAAAAATCCGGCATGTTGCTCATGCCAAGAAGAACTCTGCAAAGCAGTGTTTGTATCTAGAATGGTTTTATAGCATAATCCTGGTGCAGTTTCAGGGGAGAAAACAATGGTGCACTTTTCAGCAATAAAAATACATATATTGTCTAGTGTGCCTGTATAACTGCCGTCACATGGTTGACGTGGTCCGGAAACATTGCGCTATTTGCATAGTGATGTGCCAGCGACATATTGTTTCTATGTGTCCATAAGGAACCAGCGCCGTGTGGATGTGTAAGAGTTGACCAAGTCCATTTCTGTCTAATATAATTTCTATGTATGACAGCCAGGTACATATGCATCTATTTTATTATTAGCTACTAGATGTGTATGAGCACTCCGGTGTTCAGAAGGTCTTAACCAGTATTAAAAAAAAAGTTGGTGAGAGCTTTCCTTGTTGAGATTTTTCTGATCTTATTAGGTAAATGGTTATATTTGGTGTGTTAAACAGCTTCTTGCATTACATCGATACCCTTTCTTATAATTATGGTATAACTAATATGAAGGAGCCAGCAGGATTTTCTTTTATGGGCCAGCTCTATTAACAAATGGAGAAAATCACAAAAGTTAGGCGCCAGCTGTAATTTTGAAGGAGCATTGGCTGCCTGGCTCCTGAGATTTGTCTAGCCCTGAATTCTAGTGAATTTAGTGCAAAGTTATTAATTTTAAGGTCCCTGCAGAGGACAAGAGAGCAGGCTTTGCATCTGGTGGAAAAGAGGAAAGGCCTCTTTACAGTAAGAGCTGTGGAAACGTAGAATAGACTCCTTCAGGATTTAGTTCTAGCCAGCTCAGTAGATTGTTTAAAAAAAAAAGCTGGATGCATTCCTAAATGCACAGAATATACTGTTAACATTGATAAGTAATAAGATCAGAGATTGTCAATCAAGGAAATATCTTATTGCTTATTGCGGATCAGGAAAGATTTTTCCCCCCTCTGTTGGAGTAGATTGGATGATGCTTTATAGGAGTTTTAACTGTGTGTCTAGGGTTCTGTATATGGAGATTTTCAATGTATTTATTCATTGTGTCTATTGGTTGAACTCAATGGTCTTTTTTCAACCAAACTGTAATTATTTAATTAATTAGACTAGATTCCTTATGTGACTTTGACCAATCATTAAAATTTCACATTATACATGAATCAGTAGGGCACTTGTCAGCATGACTAAATTACATTATTATTTTGAATGGTGAATTGCCTCTGTTGTCATAATTAAAGCCTACCTTCACCCAGATTGTCAGAAATAAGATAAAGGCACCCTTAAAAACGTTTAGAAATGACAATTAAAAAAATACTTATTTAGTGTTAACTGGTGGCTTTTGCTTCCTCTAATACCTTACTGGGTTATTCAATAACCTGCCGAAGGCAGCCGAGAGAATAACCGAGCCGAATTGAACAGAGCTGAACGACGTTCGGCTATTCACTCCGACTCAGTATGGCTGATTTCAGCCGTACATAGGTCAGCCGAAGTATGCTTCATACTGTTCGGCTGAGCCGAAGTGCAGAGGGACTTAGACTCTGAACAACATCTGGATCAGCTGAGCTGAAGCTTGGGCAGCTCACTCGCTGCCATTCGACTTGGCTATTTAGCTTGGTATCTCCATGGTACCGAGCAGAAAAGAAAATCAGTGAAAATAGAAGGAAAAAAAAAAAAGGTTGAAAACATATTTTTAAAATGTTAATTAATAGTAAAATGAAAAAAGAAAGCTATTTTAAAAAAGAAAAAAATAATAAAAAAGAAAAACAATTGGGCGGAGCTAGCAGTGACAACTAGCTCCGCCCAACTGTTTCCTATTGGCCGACACCTGCTAGAAGTCTTCTAGCAGGTCCCGGCCAATGAATAACAACTGGGCGGAGCCGGCTGGCTCTGCCCAGTTGTTATTGTTTAATGACAGGCCATCGTCCCCAGCTGTCGTTTGCGGGGCGAACGGCTGGTCTTCGGCAGGCTGTTTGCCCCACTTCGGCTGTCACTTCGGCTCAGTCAAGCCGAAGCATTTGCCTTCGGCTTGGCTGAGCCGCTAGGCCGCCTTCGGCTGCTGTATGGGCTATTGTGAATAGCCCGTACAGCAGCCCTTCGGTTCGACTGAACCGAAGGGCTCCGGCGGACGAAGAGAGTCGAGGGATCAGCATTAGCTATGGCTGTATCCTTCGGCTCTTTAGTGAATAACCCCCTTACTATATTCAGTGCTTTTATCCCAATGGGCATTTTGAGTAAGTGCAGAAGATTCACTCTCCTTTTTCTTGTCTGAATATGTTGCCGCCCCCCACAGTGACAGAAAAGATTCCTGCAAGGCACTGGTGATGAAGCCTTCAGCTATGAGTCCCTGGCTACGTCACCAGTGCCTCAATAGACCAGAAAGTGTGATTCAAGTAAATATGAGTAACAGATTTAATCTTTGATTTGAAGAGATGACCTGCAGATGTTTTGGTACGAAGAGGTGCACACACCATACATTTTTACTGTGTTCTCTGTGGCCTTTGACTACCAAAACCCTTGTGGGTGTTCCTAATCTGTAGAGACTATAGACAACCTTAGTTTTCAACCAGGCACTCTCTGTCTGGTAGTCATAAAGTGAGTTTAGGATAAGCAAGGGCCAGACACTGTACACCACTACTAAACAGGAAGAAGCAGTTGAAAG